TTTTTTTTTTTTTTTTTTTTTTTTTTTTTTTTTTTTTATTTACGTGCGGACGGCGTCATCAAAATTCGACGCGGAATTCCGCATGCGATTTTTTTTACGTTTGACTGCGTTCGTTACGCTACCGCGAAATCATGTAAGGTCTCGCACGCTGTCAGTGCCGAGAGAGGGCGCATCGATAAAAATTGTTTGCATTTAAAAGACGTTTCAGTCACTCTCGAATTATGGTAATCCGAGCGCGTAAGATATTCTTTCTTTCTTTATTTTCTACCTTTTTTTTTTCATTTCTTTTTTCTCGGTGCCCTAACGCTCCGACGATCGATCGTCAATCCTTAATTCTTATTGTTCGTCAGATCGAACTTCTCAAGTCTGTACAATGTAAGCGTGCGAGAGTATACTCCGTGTCTGACTGTAATTTTATATTATATTTGTAAGGCAAAAGAAAATATTATGTACAGTATACCTGATATTAATAATAAGAATCTACCTTATAGCTATCAAGTATCACTTGTTGTATATTCGTGTACATACTTTGCGTGCGTGATAACGTTATTGATATCATTCGTTATGTTTTTTTGCGAAATTTTTTTTTCAATAGTATTCCACTTGTACGGTAAGTGACTTTTTTGATTCAATGTTTAATGGGCTTTTGGGCGAGTTTAGATTTTTTTTTAAATATATCTGGCTCCATTGTTCTTCTGTTGCTATTTCTAACGTATGTGGGTGTCGGTTGATTATAGAGCGGGTCAGAGGGGGTTTAAAAAGGATTTAATTAAAATCAAACGTCTTTTATTTGAATGACTAATGAATCTCTCGAGTTTGTGCTTCCTAATCTGACCTTTTCTCGATGACCTTTCCAATCTCTGCTTAATGAAACTTCTTTGTCTGTTTAAAGAGCTTGATAAGCTTGAACATATTTTCAATTACCTTATACCGTTACGCTGCGATCTATTTTCCAATTATGACGTCGTCGAAGATCTGATAATTTATAAATTAAGAGGAATTTCATTAACGGACTTTACGAGTAATAATGCGATTAAAGTAAGTTCAGTTGAGTTACTTACATGTTGGAGGAAAGTTTTGTAAGCTAATGCCAAGAAAAGCCAAAGTCGTTATCGATTGGAAAATTAAGCAGGCCTAACGATATATAAAAAACTAACCTCTATTTTTATCGCATAGTCATTACTCTCGTAGGCAACCAAAGAATCAAACGATTCTGATGAATCGTTGGAAAACGGTTAGGCAGCAGCCGACAAGGCTGTTTGTTACGTTGAGCCAGAGGTACCGTAAATCGATGAGTGAAAGAACCGTGGTTGGCATAAGCGTCTGCGCGAAAATGTTGACTTGACGACAAGTCGATACCTCGAGCCCAAAAGGAACTTGGTGATTTTTACGAAAGACACAAAAATAGAAGAAAAAACACGATGGAGTTTATTCACTTATTAATACACGCAATTATTTTATAATTCAGATACCATTATTAATATTCACTTATAGTAACATCGATATTTGCCAAACTTAAAATTATATTTTTTAGTCATTCACATAACCTACACTTTCTGGCTAACGCTCTTAGCCCTCTGTTGGATTTTATTGTGAAATTCACTGTCGGTAATGTAGAGCGATGTCGTGTTCTTATTTGTCTGTCCAGTCTGTATGCATCCAAGAGAAACACGACTATCCAGACAATTTTCATAGTTTATTAGGGAACGTACCTTCAGCCATATTTCATATTCTGACGTCACTAAGGACGGTGGTCATTTTGAAAATAAATTTACACAACTTTTAATTGGTACAAAGTCACGACTGTAAAATTTTACACCACGTTTATGCAGGGACGAAAAATATATATTAGTGCTGAATAAAAAATTCTTTGTCACGTTAATTATGTAATTTAATTAAGGTCTTTTATGGCACAACTATGTCAGTGTATTTGTCATTTGTCGTTGTACGCAGATGTTGGGCAAGATATTTAATAAACTGCGAAAACTGTTACAAGAAAAAACATCCTTGCGCTACTACATCATGTTTTTCTAATATCGCCAAGTGGCCGATAATATTATAAACGAAGCAATTCGGTACACTTTTCGTAATATCTTTTGACCTGAAATGTATTATGCTAAATATAGATATATATTTATTAAGTTAACCATCATTAAATATAGCACCTCATCAACGTAAGTATTTTTTATTAATAATTGTAATTTTGCTCGAGTGGTAAAAAAATTACGATAAAATTGCATTTGAAATGATAACTCATTACATCGACTAATGAGATAGTTGATAACTGAAATTAACAACCTCATTAAAACGTCTTCTCATTGAGGTGATAAAATACTGTGTAACGTATTTTGACTATCGAAACTTATTTCTAATCAATATATTTGTTACATCGATCCGAACCCGCTGTAATAATTTAATTTGTACTGGCTTTTCTCATAGACACGTATCATTATTTTTCGTATATATCAAGATCCAATGTGTAAATACGTTCAAGGATAAAAATAAAAATATGTAATAATATCACGGTCACAAGGCGGCTCCAGCTACCGATTCAGATAACGCTCTCACTTTCTGATTCCCTTCGAGTCGCCACTCTGTTCAGAAGCTACGCTCTCGGGTTGGTTCGTGCACTTACGCCGATGCTCTTGGAAATATTTGTTATTCTTCAGTTGTGGTCGAGGTGATCGAATCTGCCGTGGAGAGATAGTCTCGAGGTACCGAGTTGCCCGGCAGAGGAGACGACCCGACGGAGACGTCTCCACGGACCGGCGGAGGTCCGGGTGAGATACCGGCGCCCCGCTGGTGATAGGCAAAGGGCTGTAGGGCGGGCGGAGGTACAGTTTTGTTACGGTTAAGGGCAGGGGAGGAACACCCTGACCCGAGTTAAGGACGCGGTGCCCGGCTGTCGCCCGATGCCCTGGGAAAGAGGCCGTAGAGGATCTCCAAAAGAGTTACGTACCGATTCGCTAAGGAACGCTCTCGATTTAGTTTGAATGGACGACTCGAGGGAAAGGATAAGAGTTATCGGCTATTAGGATCTCGACCAATCAGAATGATTTTCTTTATGAAGAAGTTGACGAATTTGACTGTTGTCAAAACAGTCTGTCTTGGGACACCGATCGGGATGCCTCGAGTTGCCTCGCGTTTCCGGGCTGTTTGTTGATAGTTTTTCTAGCTGTGTTTTTCATCCGGTATAAAAAGTTCTCGCGTTGCTCTCGCTGTATTCAAAAAATCCTATCGATTTTCTGCGTGTGTTTCGGAGGTGCAGTGCTGTGCTATAGTGCAGTGCCCATCTGAGTTTCCCCTGGATGCAGTTTCCGGTCTTGACGGATCAGCTGAACCAGTTCCGGTGAGGACTCCCAATTTATTAATTGGTGGAGGGATTTCGATTTTATAGCTCCGATTCGGTCTGTTACGTTTTCGATCAGTTGCTCTCTGTTTCCGGCAGTATTTACCTGACGCTTACTCCAACCCTCTCTACCTCAACTTATGAGCCTGAGCGGCCGTGCATTTCCGTAAACGTTCACTTTAGTTTGTGCATCCGGTTGCGTTTGCTGATGTTACACGACCCCAAAAATCAGCACTTAAGGTTGCGTTTCTCGATTTAACGTGTCCTCAAATATCGACAGGACCCGTTAAGGGGGCAGGTACAGTAATGACTCGAAAAAAAGCTCTTTTTTGGCCACACATTAAAATAATTAATGACAAATGTTTTTCCACTTGAAAGATATATATTTGAAGATAGTGTACAAATTTTTTTGAGGCAAAATCTGACGAAATGCCAGAAGTACAGTAAATTTCCCAGAGGTCCAAAAAAAAAAGTGGTTTTCGGTGATCACCGCTGCTGGCAACTGGATCGTCTGACATCAAAACCCAAAGCGGGAATCATTAGTTAATGATATAATGCTGTACTTGGACGAAGGACTTTGGTGGATTTTAATTTTTCACAAAATGGCGGATGTTGAAACTCAAAATTTGTTTTTTGACCAAAATTTCGCTCACATTTTCGGCTGTTAAAAAACAAATAATCGTCAAAATTAAAAATCCTTCGTCCAAGTACAGGATAATTATATATATAATAAATGAGAAAAAGGTCCAGCTGATCGGTAAAGCCGTTCTCAAGTTACAGTGATCACCGACTTCGAAAACGTGGTTTCGAGAAAAACGAGTTTAAAGTTTTGAGTACGATTCACATGCAGATAAAAAATTTATTTTGGAAGCTACTTATCTCCATAAATAACGGTCCGATTAGTTTGAAATTTGCAGAGAATACTTTTGAAATATGCTACTTTTAGAAAATGCAAAAAAAAATCGATTTTTTCAAAATGATTACTGTACCTTCAGCCCTTCAGCTATCGTCTCTTCTGATAGGTTCCATCAGAGCTCTCGTTTTAGCGGAGTTCAGACTCCTCCGCCTCAACTCCCAGATCATACCGGCTCCTCGGTTCCCGATGAGAAAAGAATTGGCTGGCGCCCGCCTGATATGCGGGTGCATGGACTGAGGGTAGACGGCCGAAGGTGACGTAGATTAGTTCTCGGATTTTTGTTATAGGTATCGAGTTAAGAGAATACGTTACAATTTGTATAATAAGTTTTATTCAAGTTTCAGATATCTTCAGATAAAGACGAATTTTTGATCTAATGTAATCTTTTTTGTCTCGGGTTTTATTATATTGATAACTTTTCCACGCGATAAGTGAGGGCTTTGGCTTCGCCAAATGGTCTAGGGTTATTATGGCGGGCTGACTACCTTCGCAGCCAACCAAAAAGTGTCGCGTGAGAACTCCCTAGAAGCCGAAGGATTTAACCGCTCAAGGCAGTTTCACCACCTACTAACTCACGCTTACTAACTCTCTAACTTTTGAAACCTCTCGTGCGGCATGCTCATCCGACCTGGGATAGTACTTGTAAACTTCTGCGTACTAGTGCTCTTTACAGTCGTAGTAGCAACATATGATACGCAGCCCCTTGTAAAGCTACATGAAGTTATACGACACGAGCAGAACGGTTCTTCTTAATTTTGTCTGCGGATCGAACGCAGAATCGAAATCTTTATCGAGAAGCTTCATTGAGAAGCATTGAAATAATAGCTGTTTTCACCGAAGTCGAATCGAACGATGAAATACGTGTGTGCCTATACATACATATATTAGCGACATATAGATATACGTTCAGTGTATTTCAACTCTCGTTCGACTCCAGCAGAAACATAACCAATGACCCAAGCTACAATGTTTGGGAAACGACGAGAAGTTATAATTTTTAAATGCGGCTACAGCTGGGAATCTGAATTATAAACATGCGAACCTCATATGCTTTATGGGTACCTTTTTGAAAATGGATCCCGTAGACCCTTTTTTTCGGAGAAACCATAAACTTGTAAAAATGAACGGAATAATCCCCGAAAAAGATTTATTAAACTTTTCTTATTACTCAGAGTTGCTGCGATGCTCGTTAGATTTCAAGAGGGAGGATAACAAGTTGCTATATAACAATAACTTTCTTTATAGACCTAACCTCGTTACAGCTTTTTCTTTATCGATGATTTCACGGATTTCTCTAATATCCAATACTTCTAACCACTCTTACGCGTCCGATATTCAACTCGTCTAAGAGTTACTCCTTCGAACGATAGCAAATATCGATTATATAAAAAGAATAAAGTTAGACATACTGTCATTAGTAATCACGTTCAAATTGTTCATCAGATAATCCTTGGAAAATTATGACACGCACACACCAAACTGTGAAACTGGAATAGTTGGAAAATATGTAGCAGAAGTAACTACGAGTCTCGTGTTTGTCACTTGCAGATGTCGCCCCTAACGACAAGCCCGACGACCGGTAACTCAGAAGATATGCAAGAGTCACGTGACGCGAAGGTGGAAACTAAAAGTTGAGAAGAGAAAAAGAATAAACCGGGGGGTCTATGAATTTTTCGTAGTGAGAAAACGACGTTAATAATAAAATAAGAGAAGCTGCTGCATTTCTCCGAGTTATACATGTGCTTATAATATTCGAAGGCTGAAAGAAAGCTGGATGACTAGATGGTTAAGAACCGCCGGGCGACTAGACGACTAGGCAGTAAGCCAGGAAGCCCCCACGGTGAGGGTGACGTCTGACGGTCCTGGTGAAGCCAGCCACAAACTAATTACGACCTCGGGCGCCGTTGAGAGGACGAGAACTCTCGGTGAAGGAGCTGCCAGCCATGCAGTCGTATCGTCAAGTCCGGTACTTACTAACTATACTTAAGTGCCAAAGTTATAACACCTTCGTAGACGTCGCAGCTGCACCTGTCGCACAGTCCGAAACTAGCCGCAATTAAATTCTTGGTCATCTAATTACCCGTGCTGGCTCGATGGAACTGTATTCCCTGTAACAAGATAATTGGCTCAGAATGGGATCGACTAGTCTCTACCTCGATAATGGCTACCGCTACTCCAATCTACCTGACTAGGACCTCGGGAAATGTAGAAAAAAAAATGCTTTCTGGGTCAAGAAGCCAGGAATACTCATACGTCAAAGACGTAGCGTTTCTAACGCATCTGTGTCACGACGAACATAACCTTTTATTCACTGAGGTACCTTTCACGTCATTTGCCTTACTAAAATTACATGCCTGTCACACCCTTTGGCTCTAATGGAAGAAGACGCATGCAATCAGGTATCGATATTACTATTCTTTATGTGCTTTTCTGTCAACATATTTCCTAATTCGAATTTCGTACGTGCCACGCAGCAGGATTCGCCCTGGGTAACGGTCCCTGCCACGTGTCACTAATTGAACGCACAGGAGTCAATACACTCCTTTAGAGTCCCTATAACGTCGACTGGTGACTTGCACAGTTTCCCCTCGAGAAGCTCGAGGGGTTTTGTCAAAGGAAAAACCTTAAGGGGTTTTGTCGTGAGTTTGCCAGATGGATACAGATACGTAGGACAGTAAATCAATGCAGGAGTATCAAACGAGTTTTATTTTATTTTCAATACAATGAACTTCTGCTTTTAGGAGTCAAGTCGTCACGTATTGATTATGCGAAGGGAATATTTAGTGCAGGAGACTGTAGACGTATATATGAGCAACGGAAGAAATTACACAGTTATTAGTCGGTCTGTAGGAGTTGACAATTTTTTCTTTTTTACAGTTGGCAAACAATGCAATCCTTATCAAATCATACCTGGTTTTACATTAAAACACAGAAAAGCGTTAAACAAAGAAAAGTTGTATATAGTTTAGCTCAAAGTCATGTGTACGCATACTTTGTGATATAAATTTTGGGACTTGCTAGAAACTTTGTTGCTTTAAAACTGTCAAAAAAATTGAATTCTTGAACCGACTATACATCTAACTGAATGTCGTTACGCGAGAGAAGAAACTTTCGACAATGATAATTTCACTTTGAGCAAAATTTCTTTTAGGCGACTTAACTTGAGCGTCACGTGCATTTGTGGTTGGACAAAGATTTCTTTATGATACGAAAAAATTTGTTAAAAAATATTGTTCAACCACTTACTGGAACGAAGGAAAATAACATTACAGAAAATTCACTCAAATAGAAACAACAATAGATATAAGTCATAAAATTTAACTAGGCATATTTTTCAAAATATATTTCTAAATTTATTTTATCTACACTCAAGACGTGTTCATCCTTCAATAGATAATACCATCGTATGTTTAGTGAAATTTAAATTTCAAGCACGTATCACGTACAATGGGCCTATTATTTATTCCTCCCGGGTAATATTGATAGCAATAAATATACCGATCTGTGAAAATCAATCACTATGAAGTTATTGACAGTACGTAATAGTTCTAGAAATTCATGGAACCCATTCGTGATATATGAGAGTATCGTAATGCGAATATTAATCGGAACGAAAATGTTCATTTAATTGCTTGTCATATTTTTCTGACCCACATGAACATTAAACTGAATAGTCAGGACGGCTGTGTTTAAAATGTTTCACTCGCAAAAACCTCGCAAACTCTTTGCCAACTTGCTACGTTTATTCACTCGGCAAAGTATTTGCGGCTCACGAGCAAATGTTTATACCCCTGTATACACGAGCGCCAATAAATACTGTATATCAAGCCAGCAAATGCTCTCGTCGTCGGCGCTTTTTTGTACTATGAATGATTACGCCAGTGTTAAAGTTTATTTATGCCGATAAGCTATCCCGAAGGAAAATTCAACACCGAATGATGAATATAACTTTCCATCTTTTATCTTCCATTCCATCGGCCCTAAGTCGTCTGACTTTTTATCAAGCACTTTTTCATTCCTACGATGATAAAATCGGAGAAATAATTTATCTTGTATGTTAAAATTTGTGCATAGAAATAAGGCTTTAACCGCGTTTGAAATATTCGTTAGCGTAGATTTGGGAATTACTTGGATCAATTGAATAATTTTTTTATCACATCACAGTAAACACAAAGCAGCAGTTGCGTATTGATAATGTTAGAATTTCATACTTGGGAATTATTACGGCAAAGTAAATACGTTTCTGATACTTATGTAACTTTTACATAGCTGTTACCCAAGAAGCACCCGATATGATGGGTAATGTCAAAATGTTATACTCAGGGATATATATGTAACAATTATGTGCATTAAGTGTTTTGTAATTGTTAAATTTTATTTATTGATTATAATTTTAGAATTGTCATTTGAAAGATTTTTTAACAAATTGAATTTTTTGATTATGTCGATTAATTGAATACAGTTGGATATTTTTACTTTAGAAATAGCACTGAGATATCTTTTAGTTAAATTTCACACTGCTAATGATTTTTTGCCAAAAATATTGTGTTTTGTATCAATGAAAATATATGGAAAGCCATTCATTACCTTTCGCGAAAGAGCATTAGCAATGGCAAGTTTTCCTATGGGAATAGCACCAAATCCAATTTATCAATTAATCAAATTGCGCGAATCAATCAAACGCTTTAACTCGAATGGGTACGATTAACCTGAACAACCTCCTATAAATTTAACGGCCGAAGATAATTAATCGAAGAAAAAAACGAAACAGCATTGTCCGTTAATTTGCGTACACATCCCATAATTGCATATTAGTAATTATTGTGAAAAATTAATAAAACGTTTAAAATAATTCGACCAACATTTAAATGAAAATATTTTTATGAAAATATTATTTCAAAAAAATTGCTCGAATACTACGTGATCTTTTATCGTAAAATTTCAGGACTGTAATCTCTAATGATTAAAGTCAATATGATTTCCAGCTTGTTTGGTTTAAATTCGACAAATCACAAAACGTGCCGATTAATAAATTACAAATCTGAAGAATCGTCAACGTCATGATCCGATCTTGTCGAATAACAATCGAAGAGAAAAAAAGCAGTTATTGATAATTTAACCAATATATATTTACATGTATTAAAAAACGAATAATCATCACAAATATTAATTATAGTAATTGTACCGATTAAATAGGTCGAAAAATAATTATAATATCAATGCACATCCTTATCTCTACATATTTCCTAGATAATTTGGTAAAAAGTCTTGAAAATGAAATTTACACCCTATCGAAGTAACTAGCAGGTACTTTACCTGATAGCGATAGTAATTGAAATCCTACAACTTCCGCGGGAAAGCGTTTAGTCGACACGCAGCTCTTCCACGTCTGATTTCATTACTGAAGAGATTCACTTGCGTGTCACAGTTTGCATGACTGTAAAAAAATAATCCGCCCCTCGGATTTGTCCTCGATCATGGCGCGATACGGTGGTGTAAACTTTATTCCGTAATCACAGTAAATTAAACTCATAACATACCCGTGAGTACGATTTAACCTCAAAGAGTAAAATGAAAAATTCAAAGAACAACGTAACCTACCAAGTTTGCTTCTTCATTAGCAATTTCCCTAGGAGCAGAAATAAAGGTCGCAGAATTACACAATACTTAAAGAAACACATTTGAGAATATATTTACGTAACATATTATTACTTTAATATTGTCATGCATGTGGATGCATGTTACACACGTGACTCGAAAAATGCTTCAATTGTAAGTATTTAAGTATCATACAAATTTGAATACAATAAGTGACAGCGCTAAGGATACTTGGCGCTGTCGGTAAGGTAGAGTCCTTTACAGCCAACATTCTTCTAGCTCGTCGAAGGCCGAGAGTGGGGACAGCTGGGCATTGTCATTGGTCACGGGTACGAGAGAAGGGGAACTGTCACAGCTGTTCTGAGTACCTGACTGGTATTTCGCTTAGCTTACATGTCTCTGCATTATGTAAATTGTGAGAGACTTACACTGTACATTGAAAATCTTGAAAATGAACATATCATGTATGCGCATGTGCGCACGCCTTTCGTACCGATTCGTCATTACGAAATTTTACGTGTAAGGTTATCGATTGTCAGATTATGGCAATTCGCAGAAATCAACGTCAATTAATCAACGGTTATTTATGAAATGTATTATCTCGTCATCAGTGACATTCCAGTTGATAATGTTTCGTGGTTTTACAAATACGTAATATCTGAAATGGAGTAACTGTAATTTGTAATCCTCCAATACGGATGAATTGGATAGTCAGTTCGAGATTTATAAGGATTTTATGAATATGCTGAATAAGATAAGTGACCTCTGGTATATTAGAATAATTTATTATAATATTTGTAAAATAATTATAATAGACATTTCAGAAAAATTTATTTAAAATCCAAAGCCCATACTTTTGACGATTACTACTGCTTACTAGTTCATAGTACTTAATATTTTCATAGCACATAAACGCGTGAATGTTATTTTACCAGGGAATGTGCGAAACCTTCTTATTAAATTGATCGAACGTTTTTATAGTTCGACTGAAGATATATGTCTTTTTAATACGTAGTTGCGTGACTTGTCTTTAGGTCAGTCCCAACGGGTTATAACCAAAAAAAGCTTGCAGCCAGCCAGTTCTTATGAAAAACGTGATAAGTAAATGGTGAACATTGATTTTTAATTATAAGCATAATTAAATGTATACAACGTGCGAAACGAGGTTCATAGTGTTCCATGCATAAGTAATAGATACGGAACTATATGTGAAATAAGTAATGCTATCCATGTTATGATGTTAGGAAAAAAAATCTTTTCTGAAACAGTGATGAAGAGGATGGATGGTGTATTTTTGCAAACAGGGATAAACTAATAAGAACTTTTTATAGGCAACTCAAAAACAAATTTACCGTCCATTTAAAGTTTAATCCAAGCTTGCATAATTTTTGAGATACATTGAAAAATCTGAAAGTCCAAAACCTAATTTTTCTTGTTAGTACACATTACGTTTATTCACATGACAAAAGATACAATAATTTTCGACACTGATAGTAGAATTTGTAAAGCGGTCAAAAGATTGTTCAAAATTTATGAAAACGTTATACGGTGCTACAAAGCGTTCGGTTTAAGTGAATTAAATTTAATAGGAATAAAACAACTGTATAATCGCTCGATTCATGTTATTCGAGACGTTCGACATACACGTACCTCTCATTATTACGTGGTATCTACTATTTATTGATTATCCTGAAAAATTCGTGCAATTACGTTAAACAGAGAATACGAGGCCTAAAAGACGAAAAATAATACCTTGATTTATTTACCGTGAAATTAAACTGGCTAAAATAAGTTTGAAAGAGAATTTATTTGCTTTGTTCCACAAAATCATGGCGCATAGAATTTCCAAGTCCCATTTATCACTAGTTCACGAAATACATAGCCAACACGGTGCTCCACGTGATATCGCAAGAACTGTAAACCCACCGAATTACATAACCTCCTCAAGCATCCCTTAAATTCACAATTTGAATCATTAGTACATTACCGACTACCAGGCCAAAGAAAATAAGCGAACTTCTTACTGTAATACAGTCAACTAAGTACTGGAAGTGCAAGAAATTCAAAGCCCCGAAACGTTTCACTGCGCCCGAAACGTCCAGGTCCTTCCTGCATTGTCGATCTATTCACACATCACATATACACATACACACCCACGTGACTATATGACGTCTCGTAGACAGTTGCTTTTATGTATTTAGTAGATTTTGGTTGGACTGTCCTCCTCGCTGACCTACATTTCACGTCTGTAGTGCGAACAGCCTAAAGGATTCTTTCTTACCGACAAGTCTCCTCCGTAAATCCTTGTCTACTTTATTCCTACTTTATCGGCCGGGTGACACGAGCCCCACGATGCAATTACAATACGCATTAAAATCAAGGGGAATAAAAAATATCGATATTATTTTCCGGCTGACATTCGCTAATAGATAACCAGCGCTGCAGGAAACCACTTTCGAGGCACTTGCTGACTATACGCGTTCGATAAATTTCGAGAGAAGCAAAAGCAAGCTGTGAGGGCTGTGGAAAGTGGGAGTGGCGATGGCTGAAGGAACGCAAGGGGAACGCGAAGGAAGGGAGGAATTATCTTCCACGTAATTACCCAATGGAATCTGTTCAAGGATTTCGTAGTGAAAGAGGCTTTCCCGAAATGCGGGACGATATTACGTTTCTTCTTTTTGTTCGGCGTAAACGACCGAGCTCTATTACCCTTCCGCTGCATTCTTTGTTATTATAATGATAATGATTATCGTAACGATAACAATAAGATTTTTGGTATTGTACTTAACTTAAGCGCAGGTGTATGTACACGGATAAAAACGTGAATGAGTCACAATTTGAGATTGGGGAGGGGGGGGCGAAGTGGGGGGAAAGAGTGATAATTTTACAGTGCTAATAAATATCTATAATGCTTTATGAAGCAGACTTTTAATTTCAATGGAACCTACGCTTCGTTATAATAATGGCGGATGGTGCGATTGAAATTTCTTTTCCCTTGGGGTCAAAATGATTAATTATTCTTTAATGTAAAAAAATACGTAATTTTTGTGAATTCGTGTATTTATCGACTGGAATAAAATTATTGAAACTTTTGACAAACTTTTATGTGAAGAATATCGGGGTTTGTGTAACAAGCAATTGTGGTTTGTTTTTTTGTTTTTCCAATGCCATTATTTTTTTCGATTATCTGGTATATAACTTGTTGTTTTGATAGGATAAGAAAAAATTCAATGTATAACTTTAGGTGATACGTTTTTAGAGAATTTATTGACTTTGCGTACAAATTAGAAGATAAGGCACAATGGCAAAATAGATTTTTGAAATAATAATAATAACGTACGACTCTATATGATTTCTACCAAGATGGTACAGTCGTTTCACGTGTAAGAGATTCTATACAGGGGACTTATTTAGCTTAAAAGTCTTACGAAGATAACCCCTCTAAATGCTGTTTTCTTCGTGCACAAACTACAGTCGGGCTGTAAATATAATATTCGGTATTACGAAAAAGCTCACTTGAAATACATTGAATAATTTTATTCCCGTACAAATGCATCATTCAGAACCGATTATTAATTTCGTCCTTAATATTGTGCATTTTATATGACAATTGATATTTATTGTGCAATTTGATATAAGATTTCAAATTTGGAATAAATTTGTCTATTAATAAATATTTGCAATTATTTCTATATACAGTTGGTTAATAAAATTTTGAAATAATATCATGTTTACCGTTGTTCTATGTATTATGAAAGCATTCTTGAAACAAGGAGCGTCCACTAGAGCAGCACAAAAAAGCTAAAGAATTCTTCAGTAAAGATTCTAAAAGCAATCGTTTATTCTTCCAGTAAAAGAACGATTGAAATTAAAACGTCAAACGTATCCCAGCAACGGACCTCAAAACATCCTCAAAAGCGTCCCTTCTTTTTATTCCTTTCAAGAAAATATCTAAATTCAATTTTTCAACAGTGTATAATACAAGATCGCGCCAAGCCTTTGAGTTTCAAAAGCAGCTTATAGTATACCTGTAGAAATTTGTCACGTGTGAAAATTTACGAGCTCATGGATTCCTCCTAGATCCAAAATTCTTCATCCATAGCGTCTACCGATTGGTCAAAGCCGGTATACGACACACAAGTATTCAGCTTTTACATACAGCTTTTGCAGAAGCGTCCGATGTTCCGCACCACCCGTTATACTAAAGAGAGTTGGAATCTACCGGAAACGAAAACTCCAACTTTTTCTCGGTACTTGGTAAATATTTAGTAAACTTCATGATAGATTTTAGCCGATCTTTTTTCAACCAGATATACCACTCGTTACGTTGAATTAACAATGGCTGAGCATTAAAATTTTAATTAACCAGTTTTTTTTTAAATTAATTAAACTATTAATTAATTCAAATTTAATTCAAACTAAAATTTTCCCTATAATAAAATTCAGGTTAGTTTGATAATATTAAAAAAAAAGTATTACCATGCGTTTATCCTTATAATTTTTCTATATCGATCATCCAGTCGAGAACGTCTCTTTTAATTTGTATAATTCATTTTGATTGATCATGGTTCGACTAATGCATCAGGATAATTAAAAAATAAAATTGATAAGTATCTTTATTTGAGCTTTTACAAGAAAGGAACTTGCAGCGCGTCAAATTATATGTTATATTGTATATATATATATATATATATATACACATGTATACGGGGCCCATGAGACTTGTTCGAACACAAGAGAATTCTCGCGAGGTTTATTACGGAACAGTATCGTTACTGACCGCAAGCTTATTGGCTTTTACCGGGGTCAAAGCCAGGGTGAATTTCCATTAAGGGGTTACCCTAGTGTGAATGCACAAAGAACAGGGTCAATTTAAAAAATTAATTACTCATAAACCATAAACGGAAATCAATTTACATTTGGCTACATGTTAATACACGCGTTAATGAATAAATTATGAAAATCTGCAAAAAAATATATTTATTTAAAGTAACGTAGTGTCGCACGGAAGGCCGCTGCGATTGAACAACAAAGCGGTGTACACTGTTTAGCCCATATGGTTTGTCTGAAAGAGAAAAAAAATATATTTATAATTTATATATAGCATCGCGTACAGTATGACGGAGCCATTATTTTTTTTTTTTTTCAAAATTTTATATAAAAATATTTTTCTTTCGAACAACGATCAATGCTTTCTCAGGAGTCTAGATATTACAAGAAACTTTACGTTTCCTTGGAATAATTTTTTGAACAATGCAACCTATGTCTTTCGATAAAGCGTCCATTGTCCAGATAAGACAAGAGGGAAGACAGAGAAGCATATAAAGATAGACACAAAAGTTGAAGAAACAAAGAGAGAACTTACTTTCCCGAAGAACAATCGCGTGGTCGTTGATACTCTCGTTTCCGTCTTCCGTTACTTTGTAACAGAACAATTGGAAGCAGCCATACGCACCGCTACCTGCGATACTATAAAACCCTTCTATCCTATTACGAAATTACCTATGTCAGATCGTTGCGCTGTAATTAAAAATTTTTTACTTTTTTTTCTTTTTTAATTAAGGGGGTTAAATCGACATTTTGGTTATGCTTTATAAATAAGAGGATTAGGTCAGAAACCTGCGGGTATTTTTTTTTTTATCTTCCACGCATTTAGACACACGCGTTAGTCGTCCCACATAGGTTTTATGGAAGACTGATTTTTACCCAGGACTTTGTACAGCTTTTTGCCAAATTGCTTTACGTTTTCGTTCTCTGCTCAACTCCTTTTCGGCATACCGTAATGACACATAGCCTATGTTACTCCTGAAAATTAAAGTTAAAGCAGTAAAAGGGATATCTCAAATTGGTTCGGTGGTTCTTGAGTTTTGGGGTAACGTACCATAGATATATAGCGGGTGGAGAGTTTAAAGAGACCAGGGCGATTTTTTTTTTAAACTAAACGAGGTATCGAAAAATGTTTCATGCGGGAGCTGTAGGAATTCGAGAGTAACGGAAGATACCGTAATTGAATGTTCATTCGGGGTGCAGGCGTCAAGGTTATTCCAAGGTCAATATTGAATATCTTAATTGGACGATGCATTTTTTTTTTTCGAAAATAAAAAAAAATGGTTCAATCTCGAGTGCAAAAGCAATGGTACGCTAACCACCAAAGTTGTAATCAACTTGATAAAATTTTTGAAATATAAGACAAAAAAATATGTTCTCCGTATCGCCTGGGATCGAAAGAAGATTTATTATTATTTAATGCCTAGTTTCGTTTCCGAAAAAATCGCACTGGTCACTATAAATGCTTCGCCCGGTATAGAAACGTACAAAATTGTTTTATATATTTGTATATATATATATAGAAGATAGAAAAAATATATATATATATACACACACACACACGTTGTATTAGTATTCAGAGAGACACGTGATGTCTAATCGATATACATTTGTTCAGAACATTTCAACTATAACTTGACATTGATATTGATACTTATATTGGACAACCTAGAACATAGGATCACAGCGAAAATTAATGATGGAAGCGAAGTTCGATTGTTAAGGTATCGATTTACCTTATCTACATACATCGTGAAAAAGGTCACATGTCAAAGGTCGATTAATCAATTTTGAAATCAGTGTCAACTGACAGAACGACTTGCATTAGCAGAAAATCGAACTCTACTTTTCTTTTTCGCTAATGCGTCTATGCGATACTTTATATTATCAGTTCCATCGACCATGAACGTATATATAATAGATATATTAATATGGCGAATACTACAAATTTATATACAAATGTCAAGTTGACTTAACACTTTGCCGGCCGCTGTCACGTATACGTGACTTTTTTTGCCAACCGTTATCGGCCGCTATCACGTACGCGTGACTTTTCTTTCTCCAGCGGTGATGCTTAATTTCCATGTTTGTGTAGGGAGATACATTGTTGCAGAGCAATGTTTGACAAACAGGGAACTGTGGTTTCAATTGTTTTCCCCTCCCAATTTACCAGATTGTGTTTTATTGAATTAAAATTTATCACACAAAAAAAGAATATGGATCCTAAGGGTTAAATTTTTTAAGTAAAATGTTTAAGTAATAATTTAAAAATATAAGTTTATACAATAAAAATGTTGTAACAGTTACCTTAATGCCTTCTCTAATAATAATTACATTGCAACTACTTATGTTACGAACGATTGCATAAATACCACCGTTGGAGAGCAGTAGAACTTGCGTGAATCTCGCCGACGGCAGCGCAACGGCGACTCGAGAAATGTGCGGCCGGCAAAGTGTTAATATGATGATCGAATGAGTCAGTCGATTGTAAGTCATGTATAAATAGTTATGAAACGAAGACATATAAAAAGTAGGGTAAACTGGGTACAGTTGTAACCATTTTTCTTTGATAGCTCATAGAATCGTAATGATACAAGCGAGTTCTGAACTAAGCACGTGAAACGAAAGAGTGTTTATCAGTCTTCACATTGTTCATCACATTTGAACGCCTAATACAATAATTAGCCTACCGGAACATTTAGGAAAAATTCTACTTTCGTTACAACTTACCCTACCCTTATACCAGGGACGCTCATATTCCTAGAATTACCTTCTGAAAAAAATTACGTGTAAAATGATAAAAAAAAAAATTGAAAATTGGTAAACAGAAACAAAGTATAAGAAAGGTAATCAAAATTATTTTTGCAAGCTCTCGCTGGGACAATCGATTTTTTTTTGTAGTCTAATGAACTAATTGGTATGTAAGAAATAGCAGTACGTTATTTTCGATCGTATTTTCCTGTAAGTTACGAATTTTTATTATAGCACTATTTAAAAATTTCGGCCATTATCGTTGTATTGCGTAACTCGAGAGCTGCCATTTTGAAGTCTTTATTTTTTTTTTATGAGATAATAAGTATGATATAGTAGTTGTATTGAATTTCAATATCGTATATACAAAGAGAACACGATATTGGTATCAATGTATATACCTAACCTTAAAATCGTTTTGAAACGTTAACCCGATTGCTGTATTATTCATGCCATCGTTTCTAACGTTTGGATTATCAAATTCCATTAAAAGAAACATGCACCGATTAGGGTTTCATATACTTTTTCGAGGAATACGTGGATTAATCAATGTCACTCCTGACGAATACAATCGATCGAAACGTCCCGTCTAATTGGCGCTGTGCGAGTGCGATTCCGAAAGTTGGACTGACAGTTGACAGCAGTCGACAGGATTAAAATCGAGGACTATTTTCCACTTATCCCACTCAATCTGTCAAGCGATTAATCAGGAACGTGTTTGTGTCATTGAATATCGAACGTATACCTTTACCTATGGCGATCATGACTAAGAATTTATTATTCTCTATTAGTCTCTCCAAATTCTTGAAATTAGATTGGAACATTCTTTTTTTATTTGTGACTTGCGATAAATTGATGGTGACAAATAATCATTGTGTATTAATAATATTTCAGAGTTCGAAGATTTTTTCGCAGCACGTGGCTCTGTTTATGCATGACGTATAGGCTTAATTAAAAAATTCATCGATTGTAAATATTAATGGATTTCGAGCAAGAAAATATTTGATCAATTTAAATGTAAATAGATGATCTTGTCTTTTAATTGATTTTGACACTGTTGTTTATTTATCGGTAACACGTGTACTGCTGCATTTTAATTAAACGCAAAAATTTTTCTTTATTCATATTTGCATTTGAAAATTAAATCTAATTATTTTTGCAATGCAAAGGATTAATGATCGAAATAAAAAATATTTATTTTTGAAAAAATCGATATTTTATAAACAAATAAAATTGTGTCAATGAATTATTAACAGACGACTGGAACATTGAAAAATTAATAATAAAAAGATATTTAAGATTCTAGTTGAATTATAATTCATTAAATCGAAATTAAGTAAAATTTTTTAAATTTCGAAAATATTGAAAATATTTTTTGATACAGCAGTTTTATCATCACGCCGCGTCGTGGCGCGTTCAGCGCGTCAGATGTACCTGAAGGGTTAAGATCCACATCAGACGTTTTCAAAATGACTTTTGGTATGCGTTGTATGAGAAGACACTGTAAAATGAAAGATGAAGATCATAACATGACACCCGGTACATAATCGTAAACGAAATAGTAACAAATAATAAACTCCGCCATGATAACTTTATATCGTAGGATTTGAATTGATCTGACGATAAATCGAAATCTAGAGAATCGATACAAAATATCGATAATCAAAAGCTGAAACATCGATTCTGTAAAAAAATCAATTTTTAATGAACGTCCGTTTATTATCAGGGCACATTGCTGATAAGGAAATGTTTCGTTTTAGTAGTTACACCTAACGATTAATTAAAGCTCGCAGGAGCATCAACACGTATCATAAAAAAAATTACAGGACTATCAAAACCATTTATATCTGTGCCAGGCATATACCGTAATTAAATGTGGACGATTATAAGATATACTTGTGTAAGCCAACGTTTTAATTACAGGACATTTTCGTATCTATTATGAAAGAGTAACTCGCGGAAATTTGCTATATGAAAAATATATCATTAACATAACATAAACTCGACAATCACGAATATTTAATTACAGACGCAATAACATTGCTGTATCCAAAAGTAGTAAGTCTGAAAAGTGAGGTTCGTTTTATTCGAGACACCACTTATGTATGGGTCGTAATATCAGTTGAGCATTCGGGAAACTCGTTTTACGCAATGATACATAAGAAGATGGCCTTCACAGTGACATTGATCTCTCTATAGTAAACCATACCTGTGTTAACACGATATATCAAGCATAAAGATAAAAAGTCGAAAGAATCTAAAAGACAGACTTCGCATCACACAGGTGATACTTGGAGGTGAGTTACAGCGTGCTCGAATAATTCTATAAAATGTTTATCAATCGGCTGGGAGAATAATACAAAATATAATTACTCACTGATTTCACGTGTTCAATTGATCAGGAAACCTGAAAATAGTAAGTAAATCAGAAAAATTTCACTGAATCGTGAACAATTCAATAAAATTGCATCCTTCCCGAGTAAATTTTTCAGGAGTTACCGAAGTATATGTGTCATTAAACACACTTTACTCCGTACATAACCTCCAAAATAGAACGCGTAACTAATTAAAGTACAACCACAGTCTTTGAAGCTGATTAGTCAAACAAATCATGTGTAGCGACAGTTTTCAGGTATAAAATAGCTCTAGATCATAGGTACTTAAACGACCGCTACGTGTGGCGCTGTCCTGTTAAATACAATGCGTTAAAATTATCGAAAGCGATGGAAAGTTTCCGTCTCGTAGAAAAGATAGGTGAAAAAGGAGATGGTAGGAGTTGAGGGAAGCAGAGAAGGACGCTGCACGTAGCTAGAGCAACCCTGCCGTGGTCGGTGTGGCATCTATCTTGCGCGTGTATATCGGTAGACGAAGGGAGGGAGAAAGAAAGAAGGAAGGAGACAGACTGACGTAGGGGGCGGGAGGGTTGAATTGTATGCGGCCGAAGGGAGGGAGAAGCTGGCTGATCAGCGAAGCAGGAAAAGCACGCTTGCGCGGATCCCGGACGGGCGCGGGCAGTGCCACCGGAGCCCGGCGGTTCAGAGCTTCGCCCGGGCGTCGCGACGACAAGCACCCCCAAAAATTCGACTCGCAGTTTTCAACCCCCGTGATACAATTCCCCCCAGACTGTGCCCGTATACTCGCCTATAACCCAGTGTGCTGACCCCCCCAGTTCGCCCAACGGAATTCTTCGTAAATTTGAATCCAGGAATATGTGATCGTGATAGAGAAGAAAATTTTGCAGGATACATGTGTGAACTTGTAATTGAGAGTGCGCGCACATGAATATACTCATCGGGTATAATCGTACATAATCCCAGGACTATCATGCTCTGAGATGATACTGGCTCCGTCCTCGTCGTCACCATGAGGACTTCCTCCTACGTTAACTACTATGTCCTGTGCCTCGTCTGCTGGATTCTTCTAGGCGTCACTGGTAAGATTTCGACATAGTTTATTATTCGTGAAATAGACGCTCGACAAAGTCAGTTCTGTTCCGTGTCAACGGAATTGATTTTGAAATGTTCGTTGACATAATTTTACATTCTATTGTAAGACAAGAATCGAATTGCACTTATAGCCTGGATAGCCAACGTATCGATGCGTTGGCGTTACTCAGATAGAGTGTACAGCTTTTTCTTGGGAGTGAAAATTCAGCCGATGATAAGGGCGGCTTGGTAGGCGGAGGCAGGTAAGAGTTGCTCCGGTACAAGTGCTGCGCAAAAGAGCCGCAGCCCTGTTTTCAGATATTAATTTATCGTCTTTTGTGCCGCACTGTGTCAAAGGCGATCCCATGATTTTCACTCATCAAGAATTCATTCCATATGAACGCACTGAATGCTTTGAACCTGGTTTCATGTTTCGTTGAACCTGTAAAAATTGACAAAATAGGTGAAAGTAATTTATCATCTAGTAATTTGACGTAATATCTTGTTGTTATAATCGATACCGTTTCACTTAATAGGTTATTTATAAGCATCAATTTATACTTATTGCATTACGATAAAGTATTATTCTTGTCTCTTTTGTGATTTTATCAAATTAACGGGGGTCGATGCAGTGATGCGCGTCAATCCGCATACTGAATTTGCATTATCCTGCATTTTGCTGAAATAGAACGCGACTAGCCAAATTTATCAAAATCAATAAATCATTTGATGTAATCCATGAGCAAAACTGGAAATAATCTCGAGCTTCGAATCTAATTAGATTCATAACAGTGATTATCGTTATGCCGACGACGCCGGCTAAAATGGCGGATCCAGTTTCCAAACAGTAGCAAGTATATACATCGAACCAGTCTGAGCTAAAAAAAGAGGATGATAAAAAATTGCCAAATTCGTAAAAATTGCCATCTTACCCAGAAGAGGAAAGGAGTTTATTCTCCTTTCAAGTTATTTTAATTCCTTTTTACCAGAAAGTGTAACTGAATTCCTGTCAGCCTGCTAACTACATACATAGAGTATCGTTATACCGTACCATGGCACACTGTGCTATATTCACAGCCATAGTTGGCTCGGCAGCTGTATATAGGCAAATGATTTTGTTCGCCAAGGAAGACGTGCGCGTGCGCGCTTCTGCGCAGATTTTCCATCCCTTGTGATCTTACATGGCCCGAGCATCCTGCAACAGCTTTGCTCCTCAAGTCGAGACGAGCTCCACGCTTTCTCGCTTTCGCCCTCTTTTACTCAGGAACACGTATCTGGCCTCGACCCTGGTATAGTCAACTAACTCGTTCGCTCAGCATCCCCGATCCCTGGACCATCTACCAACCACGTACTGGCTTACGTGGAAAAACTTGGGAGAGCACTAAACAAAAAAAGTAGACCAATAGTTAGTCTTTTATCGATATCGGAGATTCGCCGTAGGTCCCGGCCAAGCTGAACTAGGAGTGGTCGACCACACGAACACGCTTTTCCATTGTAAAGTGCCTCGATGAAACAATTACTTTCGATTTTCATAATTACTTACTATAGCTAAATTAGGGCACAGCTCTTTGATCCAGAGATGAGACAAGAAAGGTTCATTAAAGCCTGGGCTTCACGGGGTATTAATGATATACTGCTGATTGTAATCAAGGATACTCAAATAATGTAATAGATGTCTAATATAATATTTGGAACAGACATATAGTCTCTTTAATTTATTATTATATTAAGTAAACTTTTTAAGATGCACGTAATGGCAATGAAGTGCCCTCTCGTTCGGAGATGGAATTTATTGTAATGTTAGGCACCGATATATAGTCTCTTTAATTTATTGTTATATTAACACTTTGCTGGCCGGTAACTGTCCTGTGCAGACGAGACCTATACTGCTTTTAGACTTAAAAATTCCATGTATGTAAGTGCAAAGAAGAACGTTCGGGCATGAAAAGACGAGTGTACTCGTAACCGGTCAGAAAAGTGTTAAATAATTTTTGTAAGATGCTGTAATGAGAATGGGGTTTACCTGAATTCTCGTAGGGGTCAGCACGAGATCACACTCGCTGGTAAAGAGAATCGACGGGCTTTACCCAGGTCCATACTTCGATTCAAACAGTCCAGAGAATATCACGGTTCAGCTGGGAACCCACGCCTATTTGCCCTGCAAAGTGCGTCAACTGGGCAATAAATCGGTGAGTGCACGTTCGATGATGGACGTTCGAGACCAGAAAATCCTATCGCTTCGCATGGCGCTGCTCTCTCGAGCCCAGTAGTGCCTTGAGTGCAAAATGCAACCGTTTCGGTAAACGCTTGAAAGTTTGAACTTTAAAATCTGCGTTAACAGCAGGACGCCTCTTAAGCACGGAGACTGAAGTGTCGCGTCCTCGTTTCACTTGAAAGTCATTATCGGAAAACTCGAAATCTCGGAACCATACGACGAAATATTATCTCGAAATTTTATCCCACATAATTGGGTATTACAATTCTTTTTTTTCTGTCAGACATCGTGTTAAAAAAGTATCCCGTCAGCTGGGAATGGTCGCACGATTTTTTTTCTTCATTTGAAATTCATTGAGTTGACCTGTCTCAAACATCCCACGCGCCTACTTTCGGGTTAATAGACGTATATGAAATTACTAGTGCTACGGAGTGATGCATATTATTAAGCAACAAAAGTATAGACTAACCACTGAGGCATAGGAATTTTTAAGTGGAATTGGTTTATAGGCAAGAAAGAATTCGTACAAAATCGTCGCATCCTGTCTAAATAAGTGTCTTCCAACACGCCAATTTGATTGATGTGCCTGTGAGGGAGTACGTGGTTTTGATGTTATCCGGGCACTGTAAACGCGAGGGTTCGGTCACGAGGGCGACACTATCTACTAACCGTCGAAAATTCTTTACGGTCGGCCAACGCAATAAAGCACGGCAAATCACGTTATTCACAAAATCCATCGTCTAGAACAGTTTACCGAGCGTAGTGTTTCCGACGGCGATAGAAAATAAAAAAGGCAGCGCCTATAATGAACGAAAATAGGGATGTTTTTGGGGAGTAAAATTTTACGTGAAAGAGTCGAGGGAAAACTTCCAAACTTATCCGTTAGATCGAGCCATTCTGCTATATGTTTCTCGGTCGGTAACCAGTAATCGGTCGATCAATTGAAAATTTTACTATCAATTCGAAGCGATATTTTTTTCACCTCAGATATACAATTAATAATGAAACAGATTGGAAAGATCTTTATGTATTATTATGTTATTAATGGAAAAATTCAGATATGGTTAACTGTAATGTAATTTTTTTTTACTATTTCTTGTCAAGGTTTCATGGGTGAGAAGCAGGGATGCTCACATAATTTCGGTTGATAGAACCATGTTTATCGAGGATGAAAGGTTCCAGGCGATCTTCTCCGACGCCCAGGACACGTGGACGCTTCAAGTTAAGTATGTGCAGGCACGAGACGAGGGCGAGTATGAATGCCAAATCTCTACCGAGCCCAAAAGGAGTCATACCGTCAAGCTCAACGTCGTTGGTAAGTGGACGGAGTCTCAAGAGTTTCATGCAAAGAGGGTATCTCTTAAAATTAATATAATTAGACTAATTGAATACGGCATTTACTTCCAGTGCCAAAAATCGAGATAATGGGAGATCGAGATATGTACGTGAAGACCGGTAGCACAGTGGCTTTACGCTGTGTGATAAAACAGTCGCTTGAAGGACCCTTCTTCGTATTTTGGTATCATAATGGGGTGCGTGTGCTCAACTATCAGATGGACAAACAGGATATTCAGGAGGAGCGGATTGACTCTGATATCATCAACAGTCTTATAATACGAAATGCGAGGCGTGAGGATTCGGGAAATTACACTTGCAATCCTAGTAACCTAGATAGCGCCAGTGTACAGCTTCATGTGCTGAATGGTGAGTTAAATTAGATACCTTTAGACCTGTAAGATGAAAATATTTTATTAAAAGTTCTAACTCCGTTACCTTTTCTTTATCAGGCGAACATCCTGCAGCTATTCAGCGAGGCATCAGTTCTGCTCCTGGTGGAAGTCATGCCCTGTGGTGGCTTAGCGGTGCCATTACCCTCTCCTCGTACCATAAAGAACGTTTCCTGGTTCTCGTTATCCTTATCTCACTGGCTGTCTACACTCAAACGTTACACGGTCGATAATTGGCTGGAAAGTCAATGGAATTCTCAAACCCAACGAAGCGATGATCGAGTGTCCGAAGGTGGAAGTGTCCAGGTGCTCGATTGTCTTCTAGACAGCAGTAGGTCAGGTAGCAAGAAAAATGTTAATTCGATGAGACAGCAACGAAATGAAGAGAATGGGAGATCGAGGGTAATCATTTCTATGAGGCATAATGAGCGCCGTATTTCAATAGTCCTACACACTCGTGCCCAATTGAATTGCATCTTATGAAATCAGTGAAGTATCGGTGGTTCATTTTGATTTTGTAAAGCCATTCGGTTATGTGCGCAACGACTTTAACGGATAAAAAAAAGGTTTTTTTATACGTACTAAGGATATTTTCAATCACTCATTTGTCTAATGTTCGTTTCAATAAAAAAAAATGGCACGAGAGTTTAGAACGTCTTGATTTAGAAAAAGTTACGCTTACCAGTGATCTTCAACCTCGAGATGTGATCCGGCCGTTAGTATGTAGGATTTAACGAGATTTTATTCTGAAGTGTTTTGATGTTAAGGGGGTTGGAGGAAAATGGAATGCGAACGAAAGAGAGAAAAATTTAATGAAGACGGGGTCGAAATATGTGTTTATTTATTTATGTACAAGGACCGTATTTATTTAACGTAGAAGCTACTAAATTATTAGGTCCTACAAGTAGGCCTTTGGTCAAATCGATTTTTCTATTAGGTTGCCCGCAGTTCTGCGTCACTTGAGTTCCATGACATTTCAACCAGACAATTGTTCACACCGAGTCAACTGTATATTAACATTTGGACATAACGAGAAGTTCAACATCGTTATCGATTTCTCGATTTCATCAACGTCAACGTTAAATCCCAGCATAATTTGATATCAACAAATCTCATACAGCGAGCGACCTCGTCACGCCTATTCAAAATAATATTTTTTATGTAGCCTTTATTCGTAGCTAGAATTTTAGAGGTTCGCTGCTCGCGATCTCCCAACATCTACGTTTCTATACCGGATAGAAAACCAAAAACACGAACGAATCAACGTGAAAGACGCGTCCAGATATTTAGCGCTGCTCGAAAATTTACCAATCCCAATTAATTCATTAATTCTCAGATATCAATGAAAAAGTGCTACTTCAAATCAACTATCAATTTTAAATCCGTTAAATTAATCAATTGATCTCTTCCCATTTCTTTTCAACGTCAAATAATTATCCTACGTTGAATCGTCGTACGTCACTTCCGTGTATGTTCACCTAAAACCAATAATGTACATAAGATGCCAATGGAGCATCGAGCTGTTTGCATCATTTATTATATATTCTATCACGTGATCACGATTACGCGCATGCGCAGTGCATTAGGAAAGAAAAGACACTTCGTCCGCGTCTGTCGCCAGAATTGAAGCTTGTTCGATAAGTCTGTATGTTGAGGTATTGTTAGGGATAATAACGAAACATGTGACGCGTGTGCACACTCGATTCTTTCAACGGTCGTTCGTTATCGTCGATAATGATCTCGTGATATGAGAATATACGTGAGTGATTTATCAACGAGAACAAAAGGCACGTCGAAATCAATTGTTGGACATTAATGGTGGCCAATGGAAAAATTATATTGCAGAGTCCAACAAGATCTGCACTTTTAACGCCAAGCTAATTGAGTGTATGCGCCTCGTAAATATTGTGTAACAAGCATATATGAAAATGTATAATCACATTCGCGTATACGCATAATACATGTGTAACAACATATATAGCATACAGACTGTACATGTTGTCATAAGTTTTATTGATTTCTGCATAGATCTCTTTATCGTTCGAGAGATTACCCAATTATTACTATTTCTAAAAATACATCTTTTTAAATTCATTTCTTTGCAAGCATCAAACAATTCAATTCATATCTTTGCTTCAGTCGCGTGAAAAATATTGAATTTTCTGTACACCCAACATGTCTGTATGAGATATACATTATGTGCACGCGAATGTGTTTTTATACGTACAGACGTACAGTGTTTTTAAATTCACATATGGTCAGTTGCGCTGCATCAGTTTTAACCCTGAAACTGGGTACGAAAATAGTGAATTTTATTTTTGTCAAATTGAATCACCGACGCGTGTAATAATTTTGGAAGATTGAATTGAAAAATTCTTTGTTTCTTTTTTTTTCCAAGTATCATAATCACTGTAGCTATACATTTGACAATCGAGATATTATTAACAAGTATTAAGGTCGAACGATGAAATTCAGATTTTAATGAAAAAAATTTCATAAATCCATCCTGCAAAGAATTGTCCGTAATGTCGATAATTTAAAAAATGAAAAATTTAATAAAAAAATGATGGCAATCCTCGCGCGTATAATTTTCGAATTGATAAAATCCGTGCAGCGTGACCGTGGCCTTTTTTTGAATTTTTCAAAAACCTGTATGTAATTTTAAAGGGAGGGGGGAGGTAATTGGGGAGGGGACAAACAGCGAAGGGGTTACCTGGGCTGCTTGCTTTCCGCGAGCTAGTTATCGCACTGTTTTTATAATATGTATATGTATATGTATACGTGCACTCGTTGTAACGGGTAGTAGAATTGAACAAGTTTCAGCTCACGTAGCGAAGACGCACGCTTTAACGAGAACCAAATGAAATAGTGCTACGCAAGATTAATTGGGGGGGGGGG